TAACCACGAGTGGGGGTGGGGGGGTGAGATCTGTCCTGGAAAGGGACACCAGGGGTCTCACCGTGGGTGGGCTGGGTGTGGAGAGACAGCTGCTAGCTGCTGTCTGAGCTGGGAATTGTTTGAATATGCTTGCACACCAGCTAATTTGCAAACTTCCAAGCAGACTGTTGCTTTATTGGCCTGCAGACAGTCTGATAAAGGCTTTTAGTGCAGTTTCTTAGAGTTAGAGGGCCTGATTTTAGCTTAGCCACTTGTAGACTTATGACCTTGGGCACATTACCAAGACTTTCTCTGAGCTGCAGGCTTCATCATCTTTAGGTGGCAATAATGAGACTTTCCACATTCGGCCCTTGTGGGAATGGAGGCGGGTTGTATCCACAAGGCCTGGTTTGTAGTAGGTACTCAAAAAATATTTTCCTTCTGAATAAACCAAACCCAGATTCTCTCTTGCTGATCTCTTTGACATGAAACTTAATCCCTTCAAATAAATAAGTAGACACACCAATAAATTTATATTATAGATGTTTGATTTAAAATTAACATGATAGATTTATGTTTGTAACACAATTTTATAGACATGGCAATATGTGATATTTAGATTATAAATGATATGGAGGCATAAATATACATAAATACACATATAAATGTATGCGTCGCCAGAGACGGAGCCTGTGGCTGAGGCCTCCGTCCTGGGAGCTGCCCCTGTTCCTCGCCTCAGAGTGCCACTTTCAGGGAGCTTTTCTGTCTTCATTTGTGATGAAGGCTGAGCACCCCTCTGCGATGGGGACCTGAGGTCACGTGAAGAACATCAGTAGTCACTCAGCAGAGCCTGAGCACACCATATCTACATCTTTGGCTGTCAGGCCCTAAGGGGCGTCCTTGGCTCAGAGTCTGGCTGGAAGCCAGGCCCAGCAGCTCATGGGACCACCTAGACTGCCCGGGAGGTGAGCATAGGAGACGACTCAGCTTCCAGATACTTCCAGTCAAAGACTTTGGACACCAGACACACCCCTATTTGAAGCCGGGAGCCGCTGTCCTGGACACTTGGCTGAGGTCACTCAGCTCCCAGTGGTGTACCTGGTGGACCAGATGCAACTACCACACATGTCACTGTCCACTCCCTTAACACAGAGGCAGTTTCTTAAAAGGCTTTATTTTGAAAGGTCTTATAAGGGTTTTCTTTTTGTTTCTTTTGTTCTCTGCTCTCAGGCTAGAGCTCGACTCCTGTGCGGGTATCTTTGGTGGCCTGTTCATATTCAAGACAAGTCATTCTCTGGAATCCAAAACAGTGGGAGTGGGGGTGGGGTGTGGAGGAATGCACTGGACTATGGTGATGGCACATGGGTGATTTGGTGATGGGAAGCCCACGGGGATTACAATGGAGATGGACAAATCCACAAAATGATGTAAAAATAAACTATTATATTATTAAAAAAAAAAAGACAATCCATTCTCTAGAAGGCCTTTGGAGCACGGTGGGCAATGTCTTACCACAGTGATTCTCACTATCATTTTGCCCTGTGAGTCCTTGGCAATTATTGATCATTACCACAGGGGTGGCAGGTGAGGGCTGAGGTGGGCATGTAGAGGGCAGAGACCAAGTGTGATGCCCAACATCCTGCAGAACACAACAAAGAATTGTCTAGTTACGATACCAGCGGTGGCAGGTTGATAAACCTGGTATGGGGTGAGTGGGTGGCGCCAACCTTTTCTCTTGACCTGGCCAGGTTCTCCCTGAGAAACCCAGCCCGAGCCAGCCTGTGGGGCAGGGTGGCAGGACCAGCATTCTGCTGCCAGATGCCTCTTTGAGCTGCTTTGAGCTTAGTGTCTCTGTGTACAGGTTTCCCCTGGTATTAGAAGTAGAACTTTCCTTTTGGTTATTTTGGGAATGCTCACAAAATTTCCATATAAATTAATGGAAACAGACTTTCAAGACCCCAAAAATAACCCTCCAAATGACATTAAACAGGGACAGTCTGTAGATAGCGGGAGTTACCCGCATGAAGAAGACAGTGCTGAGCTCTCTGGCTCAAGTCCCAAGAACACACCTCCTGACATCTGTGGGGTGGGCAGGCGATTGCCAGACTGTGTGGATCAGGAATGGGGCCCCTAGGATGTGTGTGTGTGTGGGGGGGGGGTCTAACTGCTTCTTCTATAAACTCCAATCAATACTCCCACTTTCAGTGCCATTTTTCACTCCCACCTTCAGTAGCTCCAGTGAGCTCCACTCTCCGAGCATTCCTATGTTGGGCATGGAAAATAGGCTTGCTTCTTGTAGACAGCCAGGGCCCCATTCGGGTCTAAGGCAGGACTCCACCAGCTTTCCATCTTCCAGATGTTGTCCCTCCTATTGCCCATTCCTTCATTTTCCCCTTCACTGTCACTTGAGCCAGGTTTGGGGAGGGGGAGGCGCATGTGGGTTGAGTCTGTCATCTTAAACCAGGAGGAGTTTCCTTATGCCTTGGAAGCCAAATTCCACTAAGAGCTTTGTAGTGCATCTGGCCTATGAGAACGGCCACATGCTGGCGAATGACCCCGGTGGTGTCGTCTCCAGGAGAAGGGATGGGGCGCAGCAGAAGGAGATAGAGAGCTCCAGACCCTTGATCTGGCTAAACCTCAGTGCCCCTGTCTGTACAGTGTGTGGCCTGGCCCTGCCAGAGGAGAGATGAAATGGGATGGGCGTGGATGTGCAGGGACCCTGCCAAGTGCTGTGCCCATTATCAGCCTCCTCCCTGTCGGAAGCCCCCTCTTCCGCACTAATGCACAGTCCAGGCGGCATATCACTTGGCACAGTGACAGCGGAGGCTCTGGGAGACGGGCTTAACCCAGCGTGTGAGCATGAGTACCAACTGCCTCGTTCTCTTGCCAGAGGCCTCCAGTTTGGTTGGCAGAGTGGTGACCAGCTGGCCAATTGGACGGGGCTCTTTAATGTCACGGAGGACCCAGCAGTGCAGAGCGGCAGTGTCTCCAGCTCCAGGTACAGACCCCAGCGATGACCAGGGAGGGGGGAGCAGCCTCATGGCCCACTCCCAAAGCGACCCCCAGGGAAGAAGCAGACTTGGCTCCCAGCTCACTATATTTTGTGGCCCCGCCTTGGCCGCTGATGTGAATGAAGGGTGAAGGATAGACTCATCCACAACAAAGGAGGGACTCACTGGCCTCTTTCTGGGGCAGAGGTGGCTTAGGGAGGGAGTCTGCGTCTCAAGCTCTGTTCCCGAGACTCAGATGTCAGTCTCAAATTCTGTGGATGTGTGGGTGGGTGGCTTCAGGGGTCGGTGTCAGGTGTGGGTTCGCTGCCTCTGAAATACCACTGTGCAGGAGTCGCTGCCCTTCCCACAGGTGAGGAGGACCTTGGCTAGGGACCACTTCCCCAAGATGGCCCTGGAATTTGCCATTTACCATGACGTGGTTGTTTTTTCTTGATCTGCTGAGTGTTTGGAGCTCAAGTCAGCAATTAAGGACATTGTATATTCAGTGCGAGTTAAGTAAATGTTCAGTGGGTGAATGAAAATGGAATATTCTCTGTAGGGCCCACTTATTACAGGGGGTCACTGTGGGCATTTTTTCTGACAAGGCAGGATTTCTCTGCTTGGAGTGGGGTGTGCCGCACCTACCCACTAGGGGCTTCCAGGGGCTGCCTGAGTAGCTTGGTTCCTTCATTTTTGCATTTCTTACATATGGGTTAACTCTGAGGCCTGTTACCTTGGGAAAGAAGCCCGCGTATTGCTTGCTGCTAATTTTGACACCAAAATATTAAATTCCCGCAGAGGAGAAGTGGTCTGTTTTTCAGGGATCCCCGCTATATATATGTCTTATTCAAAACGTAGAAAAGTAAAGATGTGGTTCCATTGTCGGAAACCGGGGGTGTCCACAGACAGGGCGTGGGGGCGGCTGCTCATTTGGTCTGGAGTTGGGGTGTCACTGTGGCCTTCTGGGACCCCAGTCCTTCAGTGTATGTGCGGGGGAGCCCTGGCTGCTGGTCCGCCTCCAGGTTCAGGAGACCGGGCAGCATCTGCCCCTAACGGAGGACTTCTCAAACAGGTCACCTACAAGTTTTAGCTAGAAAATGTAAGTCAACTGAGCAAGGAGGGACAGGCCGCTGGGGGGCGGGGAGGGGCTACGGTAGGGGCCGGGCAAGGCTGGGCGGAAGCCCCTGGGTGGTTGGTGAAAACACTGTGTCTGCTTCTAGCCTTTTCTACCATGGGCTGCAACTCTTCCTCATTGGGATGTTTTGTCTTAATTTCTTTGCTTCTCTCCGCCCCTCCCCCCTTCTCTCTGCTCTCCTTCCTTGGCCCACTGTCTTCCTCCCTCCTGTGTCCTCCCTCCTCCCCTTTCTTTCCTATTCCCTCTCATTCCCCTCCCCCTATGCCTCCCCTCCCTCAGTGCCTCCTCCAGCTCCTTCTTCCCAGGTAGTGGGATCCCTGAGGACCAGGGACATGCTGGCCTCTGTCAGCGTGTTTGGAGTTAAGGTGCCCTTTACTCAGTGTCGCCACCAATGGGATTGATTTCCGCCTGGAGAGCTGCCATTTGACCGAGAACACCCTTAGTCACAGAATAAATGGGATGACCACACAGGCCAAATTTGGGGGGGTCAATTCCAATGTCAAATCCTAGTTCCCGATTGACCCCAATGTACCTACCTGCGTGAGAAACCACAGTAGGTGTAGTGGGAGCTTTCACGCAGAAATAATTCCCATCTGAGTGAAGGGAGAGGTGCAGGTGCAGGTTGTTACTTGGGGTGCAGGGGCAGCGTCTGCCCTTTTTAAAATGGATAGGACGGCTCCTGGCTGCAGGGTTGCAGCCTCGGGGGAGGACCTCTTGAGGATACCAGGGAAAGTGCTCTGGAGTGGGAAAGTACATCGTCCCAATTAACAACTCTTGGTGCCTGGCATCTGTGAGGAACTTCGCGGTATTATCCAGCTATTGAATAATTCAGTGCATGGCATATTTTGCTATCTCTAGTCGTGTGGCATGTAGACGAGTGGGAGAGCCTGCTACCATTTATTATTCACCGCGTTGGAAGGGAAATCAGGAGGCCCCATATAAAACTGGAGGGAATGAGGGGCAGAAAAAAGCAAATGACTCATAAATTGTGGACTCTACGAGGAGCCACAAGGAGAAAGAGCAGCTCCAAATAACTGGTCTGGAAAACTCAAAGAGCACCGCAGAGGAAATGCAGGACAGTAGTGCTTATAAAAGCCATGGGCAGAGCCTCCCCTTGGGGGAGGTCCAAGCCAGAATGGAAAGTGTGTGAGTTTTAAAATATATACTGACGTACAGCTTTATTAATTCCAAGTCTAGGTCTAAAAGTGTTGTCCATTAAGTGTCCTCAGGGGAACTGCTTTAATGAGCAGATAAGAATAATTTTTAATCGGCTAAGTGGGTACTTTGAACGAGCGGGGAATGTCTTTGAAGACAGGCTCATGTTCAAATGAGGTGCTGATATTTCTGTCTCCCCCACTGAGATAGTGATGCTGCTTCTCTGTACCCAGTGCTCAGCAAATGTTCATTGAATGGAAGAATGAAAGAAGCGCGGTCATAGTACAGGCCTTAGTGAAGAAAGCAAGTGGTCCCTGGTTTCTCTCTTAGGGATTTAATCCTTTGCATTCAACCTTGTCTTCTTCCCCACACCGTCTTTGGAAATTAGCCCCCTGAAGGGGGAATTCTTGGGAATCAAAAGCTCATTCCCAAATTGGGATGAGTAGAGATTATCTCTTGAAAATCCTCAGTGGTGGGGCACTCTGAGAGTTCTGGGTAGCAGGATGGGAAAGGGAGGCTGGGAAGAGACATAGAAAAAGTAGAGAAGGCACCAAAGGAAGATAATATATTGCTAGTGAAGAGAAGACAGTGGAGACAGATGGCATGCTTCTGGGATAACTCCACTGAGAAATGCTCCCAAGCACGTGGAGATTTCGGGACGGGTCAGTGAAGGGGGATGGAGGTGAGCAATTGTGCCCTGTGACCAACCCAGTGCTTTGGTCCACTGCCTGCCTGTCCAGTGATGGCCAGGAGGCCAGGGAGAGGCAGTGGCACCCGTGGTGACCTTGGTCTGGCAGGGTGGACAGCCTTGTCACTGCCTCTGGATGCCCCAGCCCATAGGGGGCTGAGGACAGTGAGGCAGGGGTCCCCTAGGCACTGGCAGACTCAGCCAGACCCACAGCACAAAGGAATTCGCTGCAAACTGGCTCCTGCTCCACATCCAAGTTCTCCCACCAGTCTACTGCCTCCCCCACCTCCTCCTTGAAGCCTTCCATGATTGCACCTTTAACTCTACCTTTTGAAAGATGTGTCTGCATAGAGGACAGAGATAATTAGCCAGCAAGTACACACAAACCCTTCATGTGTGCCCCAGTACCCCCCGAATCCCAAGGACACTTACATTCTGAAGAACTGGGAAGAATCCCTATAAATGAAGCTTTGGGTTCTGCAAACCCTGTACTTCAGACACGGCCCATAGTTAGTCCTGTTGGCCAGCCTCTCTGTCCTCTTCTCCTGACTTGCCACAACCTACGCCCTCCTGGGCACAAATTAATGAACCCCTCTCCTTGAAGTCTAGCACAGAGCTAACTCAGATTCTTGGCCCCCAAGTGTACTATTGCTCCCCCAGACAGTCTCTCCTGCTGCTGGGCTGGCCTCCAGATCAGTGTCAGGGGATTCCCAAGCAGAAGGGTAGTATCAGCTACAAAAGAAAAGGGCAAGTTCCAGAAAGCACATGCCAGGACCAGAGATTCCCCACCCAGCAGAGGAGCGACCCGGTGGTGCCAGCGCCTGAAGCACAGCCTTCCCTCCAGCTTCTTGTCTGCGTGTCTTGCATGCACCGCACGGCTGGGCCTTGGCACCATCATACTTAAGAGCTGGAAAGAACTTGACTGAATTCAATTTGGATCTTTATTATGCTGTATTGAATTGTTCCCTAATTGTTTCAAGACATCTATAATTAGGTAATAAATTGTGTGGTACAGATGACAGGTGCGCCAGGAACTCACCATCAAAGTCAAAGGCGTTTCCGCAGAGGGTAAGGCCTGGCTTGGGTCTGGCCAGGCCATGTGGTGGCCCCAGGCTACTGGAGGCCACTGTACGCCAGGCACTGTGCTGGGCACCGGCTGTAACTGCAACGCTTCCTTTAATCTTCTCCTTTGAGCCTTTGCAGTCTGTAGGGTCATTGTCCTCATTTTAGGAATGGGAGCATTTCAGGAAACTGAGTCACTGCTCCCAGGTGGTGGGAGTCCTAGCACTAGGGACTGTGCTAGACGGAGATACTGTTCCCGGGCTGCGGACGGACCACCCAGGTGGGCTGGGTGTCCTTGGTGCTTTTTCTCGTCTTCTCATACCTTCCAGTCCTGCCTCAGCTCCTGTAACTCAGGACCATGCCGATTTCAGCAGGTGATTGTGTGCATGGTCCCTCTCCATGTTGTTAGCACAGGATGACTCTAAGGCCCCTGCCCTGCCCCGAGCTTAGTGGTTTCCTGATAGTTGTTCTGAAAAAAGCCTCCTCCCACCTGTCCGAGGAGCCCTTGGGGCAGAAGTTACCTCCGTCTCAGGGCAAGAGCTTTCCAAGGTGGGCTTCCAGGTGTGGTGACAGCTGTTGAGGGTGTTGAGGGTGGACAGCAGTGCTCTGACGCCTGCATGGTGGGTGCAGGCTGGCTGAGCCCTATTCTTTCTGGTCAATTTTCACTTCTGTGGAAAAGGATCCAAAAAGGGTGGGTGGAGGAGGACGCAGCTCTTGGGCTCCATCCAGCTGGGAAGAATTTGAAATCAGGTTTGGCAGAATGTTCTGGACTGGGTGCCGACAAAACATAACAAAGATGGCTCAGCTCCCCTTTGCCTCCAGTACCCCTCACAGCAGAGCAGTGTTCTTCGAGCTGTGGCTGTCGGCCCCGGGCATTCCTTAGGCAAGCTTGGACCATGAGCCTTCCTAACCCCTACGCTTTACGACCCAGCACGAGGCAGAACCGGGTCTCTGGGGGGATGGCAATT